TGCATTTTTTTATATAAAAATAATTTTTAAATATTTATTATATACATATATAACTAATTACACAATTAATATTAAATAAATATATATAATTTTTAAAAAGTAAATTAAATTTTATGGCTACAATTATCATTAAAACAATTATCCTCCTCCATACTGGCAGAAATCCCCCCAACATTACATTCAAGGAACGTTTCCTTCAAGTAAACTTCACTTCATAACATAAATTAATGCAGTGAAGATGTCATCTAGGAGAATACTTTGAAAATTTTCCTGACAATTAAGCATTAGAATAATTAGCATACCTAGAATAAATTTTGTTATCCGAGTGAATATTATCATTTCGGTTTATCTAAATAGTTTATTTATTTAAATAAAATCCTTTCTTCCAAGCAAATGCTATCGATATTAGGAGAATCAAAGCTTTGGCTAAACAACAAAGCAATGAGTAGATTTAACGCTCGTCTTTTCATTTTCTGTTAGATTGTGAAGGCATACCAGGGATTTTACAATATACTACAAGTAAAGAATGATATTTGTACTTACCATTTGGCAACGACGATTATCCTATAGTCACATCCTCTATGTAAATATTAGTGTCTTTGTTAGAAGACGATGTTCACACAACCAGCACATTATCACATCACACCAGCCTCTGTGGCTGCACTGCCACGTGGGGATGTCTGATCTTCGCGACCTCTGCATCCTATCGTCAATGCTAGTCTACTGATCAATAGTATCTCCTTCTCTTCCACTTTTTTATTTTTCTTTTTGCTCTTTACATCATTCTTACACAAATTATGACAGTTTAATAAGAAGTAGAAACATATGTAGTACTCAGATACTTAAAATTATAACGTAAAAATCATGTGATGATATTTTAAATAGGGGAAAAATTATACGATTTTGAAATATACTAAAATTATCCTAATCAATTTTGTCATTAATTGTAATTTAATTATTTTTAAAATTTAATTGCCATTAAGGTCAATTGAACGTATTTAATTCTTTAATTTTTTAAAGCTATTTTAACTTTTATAAGTTATTTTTTTATATCGATATAAATTCAAAAAATATTTTATATATTTAGTAAACTGCTAGCTCCATCTCTTGGATTTTAAAGTATATTTTTATTTTACTAAATTACTAAGTTTTTATTTTATTTTTACACGTTATATTGATAATAAAAAAGGGTAAAAATTAATTTATAAAAATATAAAAGTTATTATTAATTTTTTAAATTTAATGTATATTTTATTTAAAATGTTAAATTATTAAATAATGTAATATTAGAAACAAGTATAATTTAACATTTATTAGTTGTCAATGTATAAATATCTTGAATTCATTCTAATTATGAAATAGGAAATTCTCCTGTAAATCACGTTTCTCCACATTACAGTATAAGCTATGCAGTGAAGCATCCCTTAACGTTCTCTGTTCATTAGATCGAATCGAACTTAAATAATACATAAAATTAAATTGTATAAATAATTAAAAATTCTAAACCTTTTAATTTATTATAAATAATAGTTTATAGAAATTTAGGGAAAATTATAAATAAAATATAACACCATATTATACAGTTTTGAAATCATTTTAACTCTAAGTAAGGCAGGTAGAACAATAATTTATTAATGAATGATTTGATATTATATTGAAACAAAATTCAACAGAATAAAATACTTCATTAGATATTTGAAGGAGCACTCTTGTTTACTAATTATATATTCAATATTTAAATTAAAGTTGTTTCCATTTATATCATTCCTAGATAAACATACGTTTTCAATTCCATAATTTAACATCAATTCGGTGCTCTTAATTAGTTCTTTTCGTATTATTTCCATCACGAAAGTGTTCTAAAACAATATTAAAGCATAATTTTCTACATATTCAAGCAGCAGAATTTATTATATTTTATTATATACCTACCACTCAATCATAGTGACTGGGATGAGTAACAGACATAGCTTTAATTGCCATAATAACTATTTCTTTGGCAGTCTTTATGACTGGATTATTATCATTAATTTTAGCGTGAAAATACATCCCTAACAGTTCTTCAATAAAATCAACAAATGACACATTTCACACACTAACTACCTATCTTTCTTAAGCAATTTTATCTCTTCAGCTCATTAGCTTGTACTTGGCTTATCACGTTACGAGTGCTTAGTCTTATCATCTATGACTTCTGTCACAGCCATCCAACTTTTCCTTAATTACCAATTTTCTATATAAATAAATAAATAAATAAATAAATA